ACCATTGACCACGCGTCCCTTTCGAGACGGAGCAACGGGGGGGGGGGGGGGGGGGGGAAGGGAAAAAAATTCAGGGGAAAGAAAACTTAAAATGGGGTCCCCCCCCTTTCCCCCCCCAAAGGGGAAAAAAAAAACCGGGGCTTGGTCCCCCCGGAAAAATTCTCCCCCCTTTTCTGGGGTCCTCCTTCACAAAATTTTTTACTCCGGGTTTTGGGGGGGGGGGAAAAAGAATTCCTCCGCCCCCTTTTTCATTAATTTCGTCCACCGCCCCTTTTTTTTTTTCCCTTTTTAAGGGATCCCCTTTGCAAGGTTTTTTCCGTTTTGGCAACTCCCTAATTTTCCTTTTTTTTTCCCTTTTGGCTGGCTTCCTTCCTTCCTTCCTTCCTTTTCCTCTTCCCCCTTCCCCCCCCGGTTTGCTTTTGGGCTTTTCCCCCCCCTTTTGGGTTTTCTTTCCCCCCGTGCCTTTTCCTTAAAAAAAGAAACCACCCCATATTTTTTTCCCCTCCCTCCAGTTCCCCCCCCCTCCTTTTTGAAAAAACAGAACATTTTACCGGAAGGGTGGGGGCACGGGGGGACCCCCCCCCGCCCGTTTTCCCCGGGGGGCCGCCTCCTTCCAAAGCGGCTTCCCTCCCCCTCCGAAAAGGAATCCCCAACCTGGGTAAAAACCAAACCCCCGGCCTTTTTAAAGGGGGGGGGGGGGGGGGGGGGGGAGGGGGAAAAAAAAAAGGGGGGGGGGGGGGCGGCCAACGCCGCCCCTCGGAAGCGCTTCAACGGGCTGCTTGCGGATCGTTTCCAGCACCCTTTCGATCTGGTGCGTACACGGGAGTCGTGTATTTTTGACCGGCCCATTTCTTGATGGCTTGTTTGGCTGACTTCCCTTTCAGCTTGGGATGTTGCTGTTTATGCCATACAATGACAACAACGGCAGCAGCTCTGCCCCGGTTTTGTAGTGGAAACACACACGTGCCGGCGTTGGCATGCGGCTTATGTTGTCCCGCTCCGTGTCGAAGCTTGTTGAGGTGATGCCGAGTTTGTTCTGTAGGGTGTGGAACAGATAATACGCCCAGCTAGAAAATGCACCTGCGAGGAGCTTCATCGGGGAGCGATTCTTGCGAAAAATGTTGAGAGGTATCATCTATAATCGCTTGGGGTGATATCTTGAAAACGTGCCGTCCTTTCCCCACCGGGGTCCGACATCCGCCTTCCCGCACCCACACGCTGGTTGATGTTTGTAGCTGGCGAATCCTAAACACCAACTCTACCAGCAAGTACCGTATATGACACAAGATAACACACCCCCTTGGCCGATTTTCAAAGCTCGATTTCTCAACAGCAGGAAGAGTCACAGCGCCGAAAACGGCGGCGTTGGAACCGTCTCGTCGAGAGCTGTTCGAAAACGTATTGTTTCATTTATGCATCCTCTTCGTCGTGGAGTAATCGAGCTTTGAAAATCGGTCCAGGGGGTGTGTTATCTTGTGTCATATACGGTATTCGTAGCGGTCTTTGTCCTCTGTTCTTTCCTCGTTGAGCCTTCGGAGGCCGCCTGTGTTCCTCATTATCAAGCTCGAAACATGCTTGGTGGCCCTCTGAACATGCTCCCCCCCCTCAGCCAATCGCATGTGGGGGCTGCCGTGTACCATTTCTGAGCGCCCTTACGTCATCAGCACCCCCTTGTGTGTCCGTCTTGGGCCCTCCCATGGCACTGGCAGATGCCACCCAACCTTTTGTGCGGTGCTGCCGAGGCCGAAACGGACCTTCTGCCTCTGTCCGTGATATTGCCAGCGCTATCTACTTATTCTCAAACGCTATGCGTAAATACCCACACCACGAAAAAGCTCAATCGCTAACTCCCCCCATACAGAGCTCCGTCCTCTCGAGGACTCGTGGTCAATGGTTTAACAGCTAAAAGGCAGCAAACATGTTTCCGAATGAGCTTGAATGCCAAGTTGAAGAAGAGTACCCCCTCCCCCCCCGCGCTGGTCGGGGGAGGTTGA